GAAATGAATGATCAAAAATAGCAATGTTTGACTTCGGACAAACCTAATGTGACATTTAAAAAAACAACGGAGGGAGTATAATAACCTATCCCTATATAAACTTCAATATACCAAATATTGCTTGAAATTTCAAACTAGTTTACTTTGAAGAAAACTATAATAAAAAAAGAACATGGGCTCCTAAATCTCAACCGTGAAATTTTTGAAATATATAGTTAACATAGGCAATGAGTCATATGTGAAATACTAGATAAATGCTCGTGCGTTGCACTAGTGTCCTATTTTTTTTTTACAAATATCTACGATGATAGATTCGATCACGACAAGCACCAGTAGTTAAATACTCCTTGTAGTTACCTTAGCCACCTGCTTCATCTCGGCGGTAATGCTGACGCATGGCACATGCACGCCGCAGGCTTCCATCACTGATAACGACTGCTACAAAAAGATTTACATAGATGCCTCCATTTTATTTCAGAAGCGCTTTGACGTCGAGGCAAACGGGTAGATGGGATAAGGGAAATTGGATTTACAATTCACTTTTTAATTGAACCAACATATATATAAGGCCTATATACATAAGCCGAATACAGAATCCTAGCAGACTCCTAATTTATCTCTATCATTTTTAATAGTCCGAAATATCTAATCTTAACTAATAGGAGCATACTTGATTTTGTTCATCGAGTAATTTCCAGAGTTAGCGTATTTGATCTCTGCCGTTTTTTTCCTTTTTTTTACCAGGATTTGTTTTGGCCTTGGATAGTCCGGCTTGGATTCCTCGAGACGCAGTTTTTTAGCCGGAGTTTTCTTCGGTCGGGTACTTTCCTGTTTTTGCGGTGGAGTCCAGTCCAATTGTACAGTTGTGCGTGCGGTGTATGATTTTTTTTACCGGAGAAGATTGGTTATGCCACGGTGGACGATTTTTTTTAGGAAGTAGTAGATTAAAAAAAGCATGTTACAAAAATCCAAATCGGTTCCTATAATACTTGAGCGTTACATTAGCCCCTCCAAGTAATTACCGTGTGCTTATACTGGGAAATAATTAAATTATTAGTCATTCTATACCTAGGCCAGCAGTCAAAAAAACGGTAATAGTTCACCCAATAGCCAAGCGTCCTTACCTGACTGTTGGGGATTACAACAATTTGCCGCCGGTTTCACTAAGACAGTTGGCAATTAATTTGCCCTCTCGGTCTACTAGTGCAGTGCCTGACTGGTCAACATCTAACGCTCGGGAATAGTTTATACCGTTGGCTATTCAATACAAAGACCGATGGTTTCACTAAGACCGTTGGCAATTAATTTGCCCTCTCGTCCTTTTCTAGTTCAGTGCTCGACTGGTTGACATCTAACACTCGGAAATAGTTTGTACCGTTGGCTATTCAATACAAAGACCGACGGTTTCACTAAGGCCGTTGGCAATTAATTTTCCCTCTCGGCTTTCTAGTGCAGTGTCCGACTAGTCGACATCTAACGCTCGGGAATAGTTTGTACCGTCGGCTATTCAATACAAAGACCGACGGTGTTCCTAACACCGTTGGCAATTAATTTGTCCTCTCGGCCTTCTAGTGCAGTGCCCGACTGGTCGACATCTAACGCTCAGGAATAGTTTGTACCGTCGGCTATTCAATACAAAGACCGACGGGAAAGCTTGTAACCGTCGATAATAGGTTAACTATTGGCCATTCACGGTTTCCCCAACTTCCGGTCGGCTATTATACTTCCCTGTCGGCATAGGTTGTGTTTCTAGTAGTGGAAGTTGGTGCTTGTCGGGGGAATGCGGACCATCAAGGCGAGTTGAGCATGGGTGGCGGCAGGGCAACGACGAGCACGGGTGGCTGAGCCGAGCACACCGGCCGGCAGTGCCGTGTTGCGGCCGTCCTTTATCCTCCATCGTGGTGCGAGCATGAGGGGCGGCAAGGTCGCACCGTGTCACACCCGGTTTTAAAAACAAAACCGGATGTGTCATATGTGTGTCCAGGATGTCCACACATACAACAACAGAATAGAGGATATCAGAAACAATGTTATATAGCGGAAACATACTTATAATTAGCACTTACATCAGAGTATAGCGGAATGGTTACTAATCTTTTCTTCAGGCTCCAACTTCACAGGGACGGCTGATTGGGGGTAACATACGCCTAGCACTCCTAAAAACTTAATCAAGCTCCACCTTCTGTTACCCATACAGGGTTTTTATCCAAGTAATTGAAAAGTAAAGCAAGTGAAGCAAACCACCGCTTAACAAGCATAATATAAGGGGATGTAGGCTCAAATGGTTTGACACGGCTGAACTGCGGTAAGCAATTTTAGTAGATCAAGTTTTATCATTAGAACCTGAGTTGCTAAATTATGCTTAAACTCCGGTTCGCACATAATCATAAACAATGGCAATATGACAATAACAATTAAACATGAGCATCAACATCATAGAAAAATAAGAACCCATAGTTCCGTGAGTTTTTCAAGCCGCTCGTGACGTGAGCACGGCTGTTATAATAGTTTTACACTCTACAGAGGTTGTACACTTTCACCATGAGTCGTGATTTACCCTTTCGCCCGAGATGATCAGCCTCTTGACCCACTACCAAGGAAGGTCGGTAGAGTTCATTTTGAAGTCTTTTAAAAGTTCGTCTAACAAGTTAGGGCCCCTAGGATTTCTTGGTAGGCAGATATAGGAACCCCCTTTCAAATGGCACAATTCCTTCGCGGCTATACACATAAGAACAGAGGTTGTCATATACCCAACGTGGCAAGCCCCTTTTACGCCATAAAGGTAACCACTAACAAGCTAGAAAAGGGTCATCATACTTGACTAAAGCCAGAGCCATGTAGCACTCATGGTTATACTGTACATCCTGGATTTTGCTGACAGATAAGTCCTAATGATTCCATGTTGCTAAAAACACATTTTAAACATCATTGCATATGCCATTAGCCAATATTATTGACCTTTCATCATTAAGGTAGAGCAACTAGCAAGAACTACCCATATGCATAAACTCAGTAGGTAGCAAGGAACAAGGTAACAAAAGTATACTAGGTAAGGTCCTTAATGTTTCATCATATATTAGACACATGCACATGAAAGATGATTATAATGTTATTAGATAACAAGGAGCCTCATATTATACTTGCCTTAAATTTGCTTTTCACTCAAAGGAACTTGCTTAGACAATCTTCAAACTTCATCGGCTTCTGGTCTAGAATGCTCACGTACGTCCCCTTTCTACTCGTAGCAAACACCGAGCAACTCGAGCAAACATACAAGCAACAAATAAAAGCAACTAAAAACAGTACATCACACAAGGTAAAACAACGTACTAAAAGAAATCTAGGTGCTATGGTCACGAGAACGCAAGAAACGTCGATAACTGAACTATCGTAAAAAGAAACGACTACCGGAGTTTTAAATTATAAAAAGAAAGAAAAGACTAAATGTTTGGTTTATTTTAACTAATTAAAACCAGGTGAAGCACATTCATTTAGATCAGTCACAACATAATTTTATTTAAAAGTCAGGTTGAAGCTACTTATATTTTATTTATAAACACTGTTGTATAATTTAAGCAAGCTAAACTTTAACTTTGTAAAATAAAAGAACATATCAGAGCATCTAATCGAATTATATATGATGCATGTTTAAACTTGGCAAATTACAATTTAAAAACGTGTTTATGTTACTAATTACTCATTTTAATATTTGCATACAAAACACTCGAGTATAAACCTATATTGATTTTAATTGTAAAACTAGTTGCAAGTATATTAATTAATTAATATTTAATTATATATATATAATATTGGGACACGAAAAACGACAATCGCTATCACATAGATGACATCGATACGAATCTAAAGCAACTAGAATGGAACAAACGAACCTACGAATCTAAGGTAACTGAAATGGAACAAAAAGAAGCTACGAATCTAAATCTAAGGCAACTGGAATGGAATAAAATGAAGCTACGAATCTAAGACAACCCGAATGGAACAAAACGAAGCTAGGACGATTAAACGGTGATTAAAGACATCTCAATGGCAAACTCATAATTAACATGATCTTCTACCTTGTGCCTGTACGGATCGTAGCCTCCATGGCCAAGCAAGTAGCCGGAGCAGACGGGCTCGGCTCGCCGGTCGGACTGGCAGCAGCAGCACACGGAGCCATGAGGCCGGGGTCGGGGCGCGCGGCTCGGGGGTGGCGCGACGTGCTGCAGCAGGGAGGGATCAGGATCAATGGCGGCCGGAGAAGACGAAGAAGAAGATCCGACCATGGAGCTCCTCACCGGAAAAGAGGAAGAAGGGTTAGGGGAACGATCAAACGGGTATGGATTCGTGCAACCAAGTATACCACGACGTAGAGGATGAGGAGGGCTAACTCATGGTGGTGCTGGTTGACGCCAGAACGCGATGGTTTGGCCAAAAAAGCTAGACGGAGAGTTCGTCGGAAACCTAAGTTATCCAAACTTCGACGCTAGATGTAGCGCACTAGGAGTGACGGCTCAAAAAAAAGGATTTTATATCTAGAATCAGTGCGTCGAGCATAACATGGGCATCTCTACTATAATGGACCAATCAAAATTGTACTAGATCCCTCTAGAAAAAAGTCCCCCTGCGGAGAGCCTTCAACCATTGTGCACCCAGGAAAATACACACAGTAATTCATCTGCATTAAAATCAAGGGCTAATAAAACACCTAAATCAAATCCGATGACCACGATTAGATGTGGGATGACAGGCTTCTCACCCCCGCGCCCTCCTCACACGACGCACGCCACGACCCCCTCGGCTGCCAGGGATCGAATCCCACACTCAACGCCTTTTTCAGAAAAAATAAAATATCAATGCTCCTCATGGGAGACCGCGCGCGTGCGCCCGGGATGCGCCCCAACCGCCGCCCGCGAGTCCAGGCGTGAGGCAAGCAGGCTGATCCGCGTGCGGTTGCTGGGATCTCAAGCGCTGCCACCTTCGCGTGCGGCTGCCGGGATCGCATGGGGCGCCACCTCTGCGCCGCTAACTCTGTGCTGATGGTTGAGATGAGGCGGAGCGCCGCGGCGAAGTGCCCGGCGGCGGGGGACGAGGAGGAGAAGGGCGCGCTGGCGCCCGTGGAGGACGCGGAGGCGTGTCCGGGACCGGGAGCGGGTGACGATCTCGCATCATAGCAGCCTCCGAAGCGCGCCAAGGTGCTGATCTCCCTCCATCCCCCATGCATGTGGCTCGTTGAGGTCTCTGGTTTTGATCTGATTTTTTATGTTAGTGCGGTCTCGCTCGAGATAGGTTGGGTGCACGGAGGCGGATACCGCGAAGCCGTTGGTGGTGGCGGCGGCAGCCGGCGCCGTTGCGGGTCCACTTCCCAACACGGCTGCCCTGCAGGCGCTGACGGGCGCCATGGACAAGCTAGAGGCCCTCTTCAGGTGCAAGTAGGCTCAGTCCAATTGTGTTGATTTTTCACCAGTGCCTTCAATTTGGCTAGGAAGAAGAATCGATGGAGCTTGTTGCTGGGATTGAAATTTTATTTTATAGTATAATTGATTTGGTTGGCTGGACTCTGCAGTAAGGCCGGATCACTACTTTGTTATCAGCCAGGAGTGCTTGCTGTTTTCTTGGTTCCTAAAAGGGTGCTTCCTGTGTATCAGGTACCAACACATGTAGGTGAGCCTTCAGACATTCAAGATTTCAAGTTACAAATTTTGTCGATAACATTTTCTTGGTGGAAATTGCAGCAAGCTGGAGTGATACGTAAGAGGAGTGGCTATTGGATTGAATTGGGTATTACTGCAGGAGATGGGGCAGGATTTATAGGATTCTAGAAAGTGGCGGCGTGAGTTTGTGTCAAAACATGTAATTCTTTTTGTGGACATACTTTTACTACCAAATTATTTTCAGATACAATGTCCCATGGCCAAGTTCTGAGCCAACATGTGCTTAGGCCACTCGATTTAGGAAACTATAGTATTTTAAGTTTTCAGTTAACTGGTTGGTTACCGATATACTTGCATTACGTCTCATTATTTATTTGCAGATTATTTTTCTAAAGAAAATATCATGCTCTTGATGTAATTTGCTTCCTCCTATGTCATTGTCAATTATTAACAGTATGTTTCTTCAGAACAATTCCTTTATATGTTTGAGCAGATTAGTGCACTTGTTAGCTCATGTCGATGCTGGAAATGAGACGAAATGCAAAGTCAAGGGCATGAAGCAATCCGCAGAGGAGAACCCGCTGATCCGGTGGCGGAAGGGCAATCTTATAGAGAGTGGCGCGTTCGGCAAGCTCCTTGCTGTCAACCAGGTCGGTATGCATGCTTCCATCTCGAAGGTAGGACCTTTGAACGGAGAGAACTTTTTGAGCGATGTGATTGATCTCGGATTGTTTTCTTGGTGGCTGTTTATGATTGGAAGCAGCAATGCGACAAGACAGAAGGCCAGGTGAGAAGTTTTGCTCTCAAACAATGCTTTGACTTATATATTTTATCCAATTGTTCAAATTAAATCTATCTATCTATTTATTTATTCCACTCTAAAATGCTTGTACTGTTAATTTGACGAGTTAACCAGGGGAGAGTATTTTTTTTATTCACTTTATTTCTTTATCAGGTCATCTGGAAATATACTAAACAGCTTTTGCATAGACTGAAATATTTGCAACACAATGGAATCATACACAGGGATATAAAGGCAAGAAAATTTCTCCTGTTATATGAATCCTGTCCACAAATGCTTATAATGATGTGGCTTCTTATTATTTTGCCATATTCCATGGCACAAATATACTTGTTGATAACAAAGGTTGCTTTGGATAGTTTGTTATCTATTGTGAGGTTGATGGCTTGCTTTGACCTTAGTAGTAAATGGCTGTCGATTTTTTCTTTAAAAGTGTTCGATCCTTTTCATTGCATCTTAGCTTAGACTAAAGTGAGCATGTGAAAGTATTTGAAAGTTGCAGGGAACTCCAGCTGATCTTTCATTTTTTGCTCGCAGCAATATTTGTTGAGTATGAAAGCAAGGACTATGTTGATGGGCCCAGCAAAGGGTTCTCGAGCTATTAACAAGACCATAGTAAAAAGGATACGAAGATCATCAAACAGTTGTTAATTTAAAAGTGGATATCCAATTCCTATTGTTATTTATGTCCACAATTGTGCAGCAATTATAACACACATCCATGCCCCCTGTGCTGATTGTTGGCTTGCGCTTCTGATGATGTCTAGGTATATAAAAGGGATAATGAATCAATTTTGCCTGGCTGTTCGAGAAGACGTTGTTGGTAACATATTTGGCCGCCGGTGAGTTGGCCTTTGACAGCCCTCAGATTCTCTGCTTTTGGTTCGTTTCTTGGATTTAGGAATCATGCAATGATTCTGCAGTAATAGTATATAATATCTAGCTCAAATGTCTCTTGATTTTGTTAAATTTGCTACGTGTGTCTATATATATATATATATATATATATATATATATATATATATATGGAAATTATTTCTTACTCCCAGTAAGTAGTTACTCCCATGTGTATAAATATATATAGGGTGTGTTTTCTGTACTCCCAGGAGTAATTACTCCCTCTTCTAATAGGGTTTCAATGCAGCCACCGGATCCATTAGTCAGGCGCTACAGCCTCCCACATCCCACAGTCGCACCTTTTCAAAACTGCATGCATACATGCACGGGAGCTAATCTCCTAAATCTCTGGTGATGGCTACATGCCACAAAAAAATGTTGTTTATTGTGTAGAAAGATAGTGTAAACCATTCTTGGCAAGTATATGAACATACGATAGTATGCGTTCATACTTTTAAAATTAGAGTATGTCCATATACCCTAAAACAAGTATAGTATATGTAGATACATGCTAGGGAGTATGCGTTCATACTTTTTAATGAGTATAAGTCCTTATACCAATGGACCAAGTATATATACGTGCATATATGACAATATCCAGTGGGGAGTATATCCATATACGATTGTTTCAGTGTTTATCTATAGGGTATATGTATTTCCATCGGCATTTTTTCGGGAGAAAAATTGTTACGCTTGTGTACAACTTTTTGACAGTATTAGTGCATACACACATTAACATGAAGCACATACGTATTTGCATGAATAAAGTATGGGTGCATACTTTAATTAGAAAAATAAATATATTTGCATACTTTTGTGTAAAAGTTGAACTATGAAAAAAAAATCATTGGTTGTTTTCATATGAATCCCCCAGATAAAAACCGTGGCGTTAGCACGGGTATTATACTAGTATATATAGTGATAGGGTTTGAGGTTGGTGGAAAAACAAGATATTTTATTATTTTTAGAATTAAATAATTTCATGAATAAAATAATTCTAGAAAAGTCTAGAATTTGTTTTTAAGCCAGAAAAATACTCTGAATGCTCCGAAAATTTGGGAAAAATTCTCTGAGACATTTTAGAATATGAGGAACCCAAATAAAGTATTTGGATCTCATGAAAAGATATCTTAGAGCATCTATAATTTGGATTATGCTCGCTGAAAAGTGGGAAAGAATTCCAGAAAAGGCCTGAAAATCCCCAGGACGTTCTCACAGATAGTTGATAGATGATGAACTCAAAGAAGTGATTTGGAATAGAAGGAAAATATTTTGGGAACTCCAAGAAAAAAGATTAAGATCGACAAAGCAGTGATTTAATTATAGGAAAAAGACACAGACAAGCCTGAGAAAGATAAACGACTTACTAAACGTGATTTAAAACTTTACTCACTCAAAACACAAAGTCAAGCAACAAGCAACATCACATTAACAACAAGCTCATCATATTAGTTCAGAAAAGTTTAAAAATTTACATTTTTCTACAACTAAATTTGCGCTAAATTAAACTAATCTTGAAAAGTTTTATGCAAATATTAAAACCATTTAATTATTTAGTGTAATCTATTCACAACCCAAAATTGAAAATTTTGGGGCGTGACAGGTCGTGGCTGTGGAAGTTGACGCTCGTAGGTGAAACATGGAGCGTCGGGTTGTGCATGCCGAGCGCGAGTGGTGGTGGGGTAGCGACGAGCGCGGGTGGAGGAGCCGAGTGCGTGGCAGTGCCGTGTCGCGGCCATCCTTTATCGTCTATTGGGTGCGAGCGTGAGGGGCGGCGAGGTTGCGCCGTGGCTGTGGAACTTGGCGCTCGTCGGTGGAACATGGAGCGTCGGGTCGTGCATGCCGAGCGCGAGTGGCGGCGGGGCAGCGACGAGCGCGGGTGGCTGAGCCGAGTGCGCGGTGGTGCCACGTCACGGCCGTCCTTTATCATCGGGTGGCTTGTAGGGGCTAGGGCAATACTGACTCGCGTGGGTTCGTATTCCGACTTCCAAGTATCGAGCGTTGACCGAGACTGAGCCCATATCAACAAGCAAGGAAGCTGTGGAGACTGAGGCTGAGACCGAGCCCAGATCAGCAAGGAATTTAATCATGTGTGCATGTATGTATGGAACCAATAACCACCTGCCATCTTTTCCAATTCCATTACCTTTATGAAAGTCAAGTTTGTTTACTTGTTTTGTACTCCCTGTGTCTTTTATTTAAATGTCGTTATAGTATCCATACTGGTCAAATTTCTTAAGTTTGACTAGATTTATAGAAAATATTCATAATATGTATCTCTAAATAAGTTAATTATAAAAATATACTCAACGATCTATTTAATGATATTAATTACGTACCATAAATATTAACATTTTTTAATATATTTGGTTAAATATGAGTATGTTTAATTTATATATGTGGAAAACGATAATGACGGTTAAAAAGGTACGGAGAGAGCACTTCCCTTTCCTTTCTCTTCACGCGTGGATTTGTGAATATACAATCTGCATTCTGGTTGGTATGGCAGCTGGACTCCGTGTATTAGACAATTGAAATCGCCCTGAGAAGGCCAGACAACTCAGTCGGAAAGCCTAATAGGCTCTGGAAAGCGCAAATAAAATCACCCGGAGCAGCTGGACAGGGCAGACGAATGCTAGAAAATTCATACAAAAATGCTGGAAGTTGTTGGAACCTGACTTGATCCCGAGCAATCTGTAACAACGTACAAGAAGAACCTCCTCAAGTGTCAGAATAAATATATGCATCCAAGTGAGCTGAGTGAAATACGCACTCAGCCAACCAAGCCGAGCGAATAAACATACACGGCCATCCAAGCTGACTGTATGTATTCGGACAAATTTGAACGTGAACAATTCTTTTAGAGCTTCATTTGCAGTGCTACATGTTTTGTCCCGTCGACAATTTTGCCCACCTTTTTTCCAATTTTGTAGCTGACTATTCTAATATAATATTCTTGATAAATTTTCTTCTTCTGAAACAAATACTTTTCTCTGATAAGGACTGTCTTTGACCACCCTTATTCCAGTTTTCTAGCTGACTATTCTAATGTTCCTTGATGATTTTTCTTCTTCTCAAAAGCAATGGCTACTATTTTATCAGATAATGACCGTGCTTGACTAACTGGTGATAACTTCAACTGTAAGTTTTAGGGCCCCTGGCAGACTATAAGTATGATGGAAGATCGAGCTCTGTATATTCAATTCAGCAAGAGGCAATAAACACTTAAGTACCCCATCCCAGAACACTAATGGCTGACGAGTCATGGAGGGTGCCAACCCCAGTGCAAGAATTGGCGGCAGGCGTGGTGGAACCACCGAGCCAGTTCGTGCTGCAGGAGCAGGATCGTCCTGAAAGCCTGCTATTGGCCACTCACATGCCGGAGCCCATTCCCGTCATAGACCTCAGCAGGCTGCCGGCTGCCGATGAGGCTTCCAAGCTCCGGTCAGCACTGCAGACCTGGGGACTCTTCCTGGTGAGTCGTTCAGTTCATTATCTTCCCATTTGCATCGTGCAGTGCTTGCTTGCTCAGCCACGGACCAACAGCATCGTCTACTTTGTACAGGTTACGAACCATGGGATAGAAGCATCTCTGATGGACCATGTGATGGCCGCATCACGAGATTTCTTCCACCAGCCGCTCCAAGAGAAGCAGAAATTCAGTAACTTGATAGGCGGCAAGCGGTTCCAGATGGAAGGTTATGGCAATGACATGGTGACATCCCAAGATCAGATACTCGACTGGCAAGATCGGCTGCAACTCAGGGTGGAACCAGAAGATGAGAGGAACCTTGCTTATTGGCCCAAACACCCTGACTCCTTCAGGTTATCTACTCGTTTACTCGAAATTTCTTCTCCTTATGTCATTGAAGGATCGGAACACTGAAACTCCAGGGGAGAGGAGTGGGGTGTTGAATGAACGCGAAGAACCTGAAAAAAAATTTAGCAATAATTCTCTTGGAATGAACTATTGTACGGCCTTTGCTTGCAGGGATCTTCTGCACGAGTATGCATCAAAAATCAAGAATGTTAGGGACAATGTCCTACGAGCGATGGGCAAAATTTTGGAGCTCGGCGAAGATTATTTCATCAGCCAGATTGGGGAGAAAGCCCCAGCAATTGCCAGGTTCAACTATTACCCTCCGTGTCCAAGGCCCGAGCTCGTCTTTGGCATTAAGCCTCACTCTGACGGTGGCGCTGTCACGATACTTCTCGTTGACAATGATGTTGGGGGCCTGCAAGTTCAAAGGGATGGCATTTGGTACACTGTTCCATCCAAACCTCACACGTTGGTTATCAACTTGGGAGACTCCATGGAGGTAGGCATCTGAAAATCCAAGTCGCTTCCTCACTGGAATCTTCATAGAGTCACTTCTTCTTTTGTTAAGAGAAACAGAGAGAGTCTATAATTATGCAAATGCGAGTTCCTAAATGCAGTGCTGAATTCGATTGTGAAATTCTGACACAGATAATGAACAATGGGATCTTCAAAAGTCCGGTGCACAGGGTTGTGACGAATGCAGACAAGGAGAGACTCTCACTGGCCATGTTCTACGGCGTGGAAGGTCAGAAAGTGCTTGAGCCAGCGGCTGGTTTGCTGGGCAAGGAGCGACCAGCACAATACAGGAAAATTAAGGCCGCAGACTACATTGTTGGGCTCCGTCAAGGAATTGCGAAAGGACAGAGATTTATCGATACTTTGAAGATCTAAGTTATTATTAATATCTTTGTCTAAACATGATTCAGTGAATGGTGAATGCACAAGGATAATAAAGAGCTGCTTTGCTGATTGTGAAGTCAGATGGGAGTCCCAGTCAATGTTCAATGTCCATGCTGTAATGCATTGTCACATTGTTATACATACATGCTCACTAGAATGTGGAAAAGATGTAATCCTGCTCATGTTATTAAATTTGGGGCATCAATAAATGATAATATGAATACCTATGCATGGTGAGCTGACAAGGCTGAGATGTACCGTTGACTGTTGACATTGTGGATGATGAGTGATTGTCAAGTTGAGATTATTGAGATTTTGTTGAGTTGGTTCTAGCGTGACTTGAACTAACCAACATGTCGAGTTAGTGTATGTGGTGCAATATGTCTCGGTTGTGTTGGTGGTCGATGACGAGGGAAAAAGGTCAAGAGAAGGTTTGTGCCGATGTACCACACGCAGCGAAGGGCGGACTAGGACGCTTGGACCGAGGGACCGAGGCCCAGACGGCCATGGGTGGTTCAAATCAAGCACAAGGACGACAAGAGGATTTGCAGAAGGGGTGAAGATGGCATTGACCCAAGTCAAGGTGGGTCCAAGACAAGTCAAATGAGGGCCACGAATGAATTGGAGATCGTTGGCTGAGGACGAAGTGGATATGCATCGACATTGGGTGATTTGACGGTTTCAGGTTAAAACAACGAGCAAAAGGTTTCTTTGTTTTGGTCTCAAAACCGGGGTAGCAAATCGGAGGACACATGTCATATCATGAAGCTTGTGTCAAGATGAAGCAAAGTCATGAAGGCACTGGGCCAATCCGATGGATGAAGAAAAATCTAGACCATTTTGCCCCTCGGGTATGTAAGTATTAGGTGCTATGGGTATTTTAGTCTTTTGCCATGTACCCTATTTATATGGATGTTGCCAGTTGGGTGAGGTATATCTACCAACCCTAATTTCAGTTTCCATACATTAGCCAAGTGCTCAAGGCAATAGAGGCTAGCTTAGGAGTTGCAATTATCTTGATCTAGTTTTTCAAATTTTAGTGGGAGGATGATAGGAGGCTGAACTTAGATTGCATTGATGAATTCCTCGTAATTCAATTGAAGGTTGTTGGTTCAATTTCAGGCTCCCATATCTTTCCCACTTGAATTAAAGACAAGATTTCTCTTTTCAAGAAATTTTGAACCCCTTTTCAATGGATTTTGTACCCGCTGCTTTGGTTTCTTGACAGAACTCCAATTTGAGAGAGACATTTCAAAATTCTTGGTCAAGCTTGAACATTTTTTAAAAGATCTCTTGGGAATATTGTAACACCCTAGGTGTTAGGCTTGCATAATTTCACTTGCAATGCATGAGCATAATCATCAAGCATTCATATATAAGCTTTTACATGTGTAATGTACAATTGAAACATGTGAAACATGCCTTGTTATTTTATGTTTCCATATGTGTATGCTTATGATCATGTGTGAATAAGTGTAAGTGGTTGATGTTGGTCACTAAAACACCTTAGCTACACTTAGGATGACTAATGGAACAATGTTCATGAAGATCACTTTATCTACTTAAGCTCCTAAGTGATGATGTGCTTATTGACCTAGGAAGTATCTATATGTAATCAATGTATAAATGTGTGTGGAACCTTAGTAATACCTTTAACATATTTAGAATGTCACTATGAACAACTTTGGTATTCATGACTAAGGCTAGTTTGGTCTCTAAGTCATAGTCATAGTGTAAGTCATCATTTTCAAGTGGTATGTTTGACCTAGGTTGAACTATGTCATAGAATATTTGCATGGCAAAGCACCCTTAAGCAAAGTTGTAGTACTTGATTAGAGCAACAACTTTTATTTTTAGGTCATGAGCTAATTTGGTGCCTAGCTTGGTCATTTTGAGCTCACAAGAATCAACATTTTACTGATTTTGGAACTTGAAAATTTTTCTAAGTCTAACTACTCTGACAGCGTTGATGTGCCTGACTTTGTGATGATTTAACTCCTTAACCGTTGCGAATTAGGAGTTGAGTTCTAAAGCAATTTTGTAGCTGGTATGTAGCTCTACAATTTTTGTTTTGGCATCGTGCACAAATTCGTTTTGGTTTTGGAGATGGGGAGGCTTGAAATCGCGTCGTCAGGTTTGCCATCGGGCTCTGATGGACGCCGCGTCGCGCCGTGTCGTGACCGACCGGGCGCAGCGCCTGGCCGCCGCGTGGCCACCGCTGGCCGGCGTTGCGCCCTCGTCACAGCACGTTGGCACGCGATATCAGACAGGCCGCGCTGCTCATTTCACACTCACGTGCTCACTTTCTCCCTCTCCACTGCTCTCTCTCGCTCTCGCCGCGGAGCTTCCCTCACCGACGCACAACCGCACCGCTCCGTCGTCGCTTAGCGCCCGTTCCACCGCACCATTGCCGCCTCCACCTTGCCAGCAGTTGCGCCGTGTTCTCCTCTACCTCCTTGACACATTAGCAGTGCCAGATGAGCTACGGTGAGGGCAAAATCGCCGTTCTCGTCCTCGCCGGAAAGCTCGGCTTCCATGGCCGCCTTCACGGCGAGCTCGCCGCTGCTCGGCTTCATCGCGCGTTCCTTTGCATTCTTCGTGCTAGAGCTTGGTTAGGGTGTAGTCTAGCTTGTAGCATGATATCACCCCGAATGGTTGCCTCGCCGGTGCGGAACACGAAGCGCAGCGCCGTCGCGCTCTCACCGCCGCACCGCCGCGCACGTGGACACCCTCGCCGGTGCTTCCACCCAAACCCTAGATAGTCTACATAGGTCCACGTCATCACCACGGGGCTCGTGCGCTTCTCGCCGAGCCTTGCCGTGGCTTGTAACGGCCGACGTACCTCAGTGCAGCGCCATCGTGCCACCATGGCCAGCGACGAGGTAGCTCCGGTGCGTCCGCACTGCCACCACTGGTACCAGTCAACGCGGGTGAGTGAGTAGATCACGTAGGTGGGGTCGGTTTCGCCGGAGTGCTCACCGTCGGCGAGATAGCGCCGGCCAACCACCGTGCTCTGTCTTCGGGTCACTGACGTGTGGGGTCCTCTGACCCGTGGGTCCCTGATGTCAGTGAGAACAGTTTAAGGTTTTAGTTTATTCTTTTCCAAATTTTGTGCTAACTTTGAAAAATCATAAGTTGAGTTGTAGATGTCCAATTCTGGTGAACCAAATTTTGTGTTCCTCATGAAGTGTAGTATTTTATAAAAATATGAGATGTACAGTTCTAGTATTCTTATTGGTGAATAAAATATAGCTAGATAAGTGTTTTTTTTAATGTTTACAATTTTGTAAAATGTGTAACTTGAGCTAGGGATGTGATAAAATTGTGATTCCAATTTTGCTGGTCTTGTGTTGATATGCTCTAGCTAGGAAAAATAATAAACTTACAATAAACTTGATTGAAATATGATCTTTCTATTTATCTATTAATAAATGATGTTTTCTGAGGAAAATTATGGGGATAAAAATAAGTAACATATTTTCATGCAAATTTTTATACAGTATTATGACACTATTATGAAGCTAATAAAAATATAGAATCTATTGTTTGACACTTTTCTATAGGGTTAAGTATTTTTACTAAAATAAACCTTGCTAGCTTGTCATTTTTGTAGAGGATGTTATACATGTCCAAATAGTATGAAATTTTTACAGTAGTCTATTGGAAGCACTTAGAAGCCACTGTAATTTTATGAGAACCATTATTATATGTTTGTTATTTCACCTGATTATCTAATTAAATTAATAAAGACATATAAATAAATAAATTGTGCTTGACCATGATGTTTTCTATGGTACTTGTGATACATATAAACTGTTGATGTTAATAGTAAGGCTTATAAGTAATTGGTTGTATGCAACTAAGTAATTATTGCTTTATAAATCAAATAAATGGCTGCATGCATAGTTTTGGTCGAGTTGATGATTTCATGTTGATAAGGGCCTTTTCTATAAAACTTTTTAACAACAAAGTTGTAGATAAATTACTGATCTACCTTGTGTTAAATTTTCATAGTCATAGGTCTTAGGGTTTAAGAGTTTTGGCTGTTAAAAGTTTGTTGTCCAAAATGTTTATTTCCTGGATAGATTTGAATAACTGAATTGTTTGACCTGGATAACTGTTGAATCACATTAAGGGTATTAAAAGAAAGTTATAGACAATTTCATAAGATTTCCAGAATGTCCACAACCATATTACTTCGATGTGTATAACTCCAGTTATGGTTAAAACAATTAGCTGCTGTCTTGTAGTTCGATAAATAGATTACCGAAGTGTTTACTTAAGTAGTAGAGAAGAGATATGCACCTACTCAGTAAAATAAGATGCACTTGTTATTACTTTCATACCATGCTGTTGAAAGTACTTAGGAGGAAGCATTCATCCCATTGTATCATATTACATGTGTTATCGTATATGCATTCACGATATCTTATGCCATGCTCATGCATATAGGATCGACCGAGGAGATAACGTTGTTGGAATTCAACGAAGAAGAAGAAGGGAATCAGCAGGAGACTCCTCAAGCCGTAGCTCCAGGAGAAGAGGAGAAGACTCTAGAAGAGCTCCATGAGTGTCTAGATCACTAACCCACCTCTTTCCTCAAAGGCAAGCCCCGAAGCATTCTAAGTCTCCCATGTTTTACAAAATACTACTTGAGTCATTTATATTTAAAGCATTAGGTTATAAGAGTTGATTGGAAACACCTGATGCATGAAACTACCTTCTCCAGATACATATACCTTAACCTTGTGTAGGTCCAGGGTCGAATATATGCTTAGTCATGCTTAGACCGGTAGAAGTCGAATGATTTCCTGTCACCTACGAGATATAGATAGATACCGAAGCACGGTTGGCTATATTTGCTATCGTAGGAAAAGAACCACGGGGTAATGTAAATGGAGGCTGGGCGGAGTCTATGTGTAGGTTGACTCATGTGATTCCGTCTGTGCCGATTAAGGATCGTACCGTTGTTGACACTTCTGACAAGATTG